AGCTGTTGTCGTTTATACAATTATGTGAATGTATATGAGAAAAAGCCTAAAATAGTCCACAAGAAAAATTTATTAAAGTGAAAACACAAGCTAAGTATGTAGAAATCAATTGTACACATCTGCAGCAAGGAACTGAAAAATAAAATCTCTTCAATGCAATTTGTAATAGCATCCAATGTTCAGGTGCCTAGAAACAAGTCCCATGGACAAGGTACAGTACTTCATGATGAAAACTGCAAATATAATAAGAGAAATTAAGACAGTTTTAAATACAGACAGAGATATGACAATGTTCTTAGGTCAAACAGTAAGACACCAGCTCTCAAAATCGCCAACACGTTCACTACAACCCCAATCAAAAATCTTCAAGCTGATTTATTGTTTCAATGTAAGTTAAAAAAAAAATAATCTGGCTGGGTGGTCTTGGTGCATGCCCATAATCCCAGCACTCAAGAGGTATAGCCAGCCTGGGCTATAGAGCAAGATCCAGGACAGGCACCAAAACTACTCAGAGAAACCCTGTCTTGAAAAAAAGCCAAAAGAAAAAAATCTTACCAGGTTAGAGATTTGTTTTATGGGTTTCATTGTTATTATTGACTGGTAGAAGTAATTAACGAGGTGATCCTCAAATATAAATATGAAAATACAAGTTATCGCCATTGGTAGAAGCAATATTGAAGGGGGAAGAGGAGGAGGAGGAGGAGGAGGAGGAGGAGGAGGAGGAAGAGGAGGTAGACAGGGGTGAGAAGAAAGGATGAGAAGCTAAAAGAGACACATCTCAGGAGCCACCAATCCAAGCTTGAGAGTGTGGTTTCAGAGCAAATGAATTGCTCTGTGACATTATAATAAAAGACTATTTTCCCAGACGGGGCACTCGTGTAAAGCTGTAAATTGGTACACCATTATGGAAAAAGATTTGTAAAATTTTCTGAAGTTAAACCTACATATTTTCAATTACCTAACAGCTCTACTCCCAGGTACATAATGAGCTAAATAAGTGCTCTATCCATCAAAAAATGTCTGCAGGAATGCTTGCTTATGCAAGCTTTATTCAAAACAGTAAAAAAAAAAAAAAAAGTGTAAATGGACCCAAAAGCGCACCAAGAGTACGTAGACAAATTGTAGAAGATTAATAGACAGAGCCCATGACACACTCTGCATAATCAGTATTGGTGTATGCAACATGGAAGAGTCTTAGACACAAAGGGAAAAAAAAGTCACAAGCAAAAGAGTCCATATGACACGATCCCACCCTTATATTTTAAAAACTAGCAAAATGAACTCCGGGTAGCAAATACGAGACTAATGACTATCTATCAAGTAATTCACCAAGAGGGACAGTGGCAGAGCCTGCTGAGGTCCTGGATTTTTTTTTTTGTGGTTTAACCTTCATGTAGGTTAGGAAGGTGAAGGTGTGTGCAGTCAGAAATTTTCATTATGCACAAGATTCACGCTCACTGCTCCAGGCCAGTCTTTTCTTGTTCAGTTTTTCCAGCTAAGTCTGTTCTTCTTAAGAGCCTCCAAATGGCTGGACATGGTGCCCCACACCTTTTAATCCCTGCACTCTCGAGGCAGATTTCTGTGAGTTGGAGGCTAGTCTGGTCTGCGTAGGGAGTTCCAGGCCAGCTAGAGGTACAAAGTGAGATTCTATCAACATCATCAAATTTCTTGAGAAGAAAACTGGTACCCAGCATTGGGCTTCCTTCTCTGAATTTTGTTCCTTCTGAGTTCTTGGAACAAATCACTTTTCTCCAGCTTTTTCTCAACCACAAGAAAAAAGATGGTCCAGAGACCAATGCCATCTCAGAATGACATTAACTACCGCTTTATGTTTACTTTAGTATTCAATTCATAAAAACAGGTAATGGTGGTCAAGTGCTGCATTTCGCCTCCAGCACTGTTTTAATCTGTGGCATAGACACAGTTGTCCTCATTTTAAGTAAAGGAAACTGGGGCTCACAGAAGTCAAATAACCTACTCCACAGAAAACATCAGGAGGAGCAAAGTCTGCATCTTTACTCATCTATTACTCTAGAGCTCTTTTCTTTCTCAAGATTTATTTTATTTTTAGGTGCGTGTATATGCGTGAGTGAGCATCATAAGTACCCTTGGGGGTCAGAAGAGGGCCCAGATCCCCTGTAGCTAGAGTTATAGGTGGTTATAAGCTGATCAACAGGGGAGCTGGGAACCAGACCCAGATCCTCTGCATGAGCAATACACACTCTTAACTGCCAAGCCATCTCTCCAGCCCTGAGTCTAGAGTTCTTAATAATAAATTATAGAGCCTGGTGGTGGTAGCACATGCCTTTAATCCCAGCACTGGGGAGGCAGAGCCAGGCGGATCTCTGTGAGTCTGAGGCCAGCCTGGGCTACAGAGTGAGTTCCAGGACAGGCACTAAAACTACACAGAGAAACAGTGTCTCGAACCCCGCCCCCCAAAAAAAACAACCAATCAATCAATCAGTCAATCAATCAATTATAGAGCACCACATGAATTCAAAATGATACATCTATAAAGTAGGCTGCCACCAGCCGTCTAGTTCAATTCTACGGTTAGGATATTTTCTTAGAGTAAGAGGAGTTGGACCTAGCCAACATCTTTGATACGATCAAAATACTTCTGATTTTGCCCTCTACTTGTGAATAGCCCAAATGGCATCCTGAACCTTTGCAAATTTCACGAAAAGGAAAAATGTCAAGGTCTGTGCACTAGAGGTCGCCCTCCTAATGGTGTGCTTACTACGGTCGCCTTTTGTTGCCTCTTAGTGGAAGACCGCCCAATTGGCCGGGTCTTGGCTGCAGACATCAATGCGACCAGCAGATGGCACAAGAATCCCAAAGATCCTCTCCGGGCAGGCTGTGCTAAGTGCATTATTTTAATGTATATTTCAATATGATGTTATTTAGCTGTCCGTAGAGTCTATTCAAAACACACACACACACACACAAACACACACACACACACACACACACACACACACACACACACACACACACACGCAACTCACTTGTCTTCTGAAAAAAATCAAAACAAAATAAGATGGGTTGTTTGAAATAACAAGCTAAAGAGGATGTGAAAGAGATTTAGTTGACAGAAATGACAGCTCACACTGAGTTTCCAGACTCCTTCCTGCATGACATTTACCAAACCCCACACACACGTTTGAGATCAGGAAGGAGATGAGATCACAGGGTCCCAGTGTTTTCCATTCTCTCTCTTCCTAGTTTCATGGGCAATTCAGGTAGGTGGTCGGTCCATGTGGGGAAGTGAAGACCTGGGTGTGTCGCCTGGATAGGGAGGTGGTGTGGGGAACCACAGTATGTCCACCGCTTTCTGTTTCATGTGGGATCCCTCAGCCCCAAGCATCCATCCTACCACTTAACAAGAATTTCAGAGGCTTCAGCTGCTCACCTCAGTGTTCTCACTCTTGCGCCCCCGAGGCCTGTGGCAGCCCGCCTGACCTCTTGTCTTGGGGACTCCACTTGACTGATCCATACGTAGCTGCAGCCTACAGAAGGCATGCACCAAGGTCCCTCATCGAACCCCAGAGCCTGGTGCCTGTCACGTCTCAGCTCACTGCTCATTCACTCCTTAAGACATTCCCGGAGCAACATCCCACCCAGCAAGGAGGGCTATGACGAAAACGTTGACCTCTCTCTGCAGTGAGCACTGGAACAGCTGAGACTCCAGAGCCGGTTCTGAAGACCGACTTATCTGGTGTGAAACCGGCCTCGCTGCATCGAGGCTGCTTGTGGGGAGTGTGAAGTGAATCTTCCTCAGAAGAGAGCCTAGTACTGAGGACAGCAGTCAGGTGTTTGGATGGCAGGAGCAAGACCTTTACCTGTGTGTGTGTGTGTGTGTGTGTGTGTGTGTGTGTGTGTGTGTGTGAATGTGCACATGTGTGCATGTGTGGAGGCCAAGGCACAAACTTCAGCTATCATTCCTCAAGAGTGTTCCACTTTTTTAAAAAACAATTTATTTATTTTTATTTTATGGGTGTTGGGAATTGAACCGAGGTCCTCTGGAAGAGCATCCAGTGCTCTTAACCACCTAGCCATCTCTCCAGCCTCCACTTTGAATTTTGAGACAGGGTCTCATTGGCCTGGATATCACCAGTCAGTTTGGGTGGGTGGGCTGACCCAGGACTCCTCTCTGTCTCCCAACTCTGAGAACACAAATATGCACCAAAACACTCAGCTTCTCATGTGGGTTCTGAGGACCCGGTGGCGGCGGCTTCTCTTAGGAAGTAATGAACTAGCCGGGCAGTGGTGGCTCACGCCCTTAATCCCAGCACTCGGGAGGCAGAGGTAGGTGGATCTTTGTGAGTTCGAGGCCAGCCTGGTCTCCAAAGTGAGTTCCAGGAAAGTTGCAAAGCTACACAGAGAAACCCTGACTCGGGGAAAAAAAAAAAAAAAAAAAAAAGGAAGTAATGAACTTAACAAGGACCTAAAGCGTCACCTGAGTCCATCAATCGTCAGAAATGAAATGAAAACTTAAGGTCTCTGAACGCCGCCACCCTCTACCTCATCCTTTAGTTCTACAACCTAATAACAATTTTATTTTTATTTTACCATGCCAGGCACCAGCCACAGCCCCTCATACCACGCTAGGCTTCCTCTCTGTCCCCTCAGCTACACTCCCAGTGTGTCGCAGACACGCTCTTCCCGCTTTCACCAGTTAGCGGCAGAGAACAAAACTTCTTTTATGAAGATCACAAGCAGCAAGTCACACTTGGAATGCGCTCACTCTTTGGTGCCTTCCCGCCTGTCTAAATACAAACTATTGGGGTCTTTAAACCTCTGAGGATGCGACCCTCTTCGGTTGTCAGGAGAAGCAATTCTGTGCTGAGGGACTTGATCTCCATACCTTAAAGAGAATTCTTTATTTTTCGCACGGTTTCAGAATTTTCAGTAGTCCTTGGTGCCACCCAGTCTGAGCCTGTAGAGACAGGATGCCATGGCTACGGGAACATGGGGCAGACGAAGCTGCCCGCCTCATTGTAGCCTGGACATAGAGCGGTAAGGACCGGGAACCAGATCTAACCTTCAAAGGCAAGCAAGCCTCAGTGGCTCACTTCCTCTGGCTATGTCCCATCTCCTAGTTTCTACCACCTCCCAAAAATATTACCACCGACTGGGAAAGAAGCATTCAGCATAAGAGCCTATAACGGTACATTTTATATTCAAAACCCAACAGCGGTGCACGATACGTTTACATGGCAATCAATCAACGTTTTCAGGCTCAAGCCTTCCCCATTCATCATTGCTGCCCTGTCTTGCTTTAGTAACCTGCAACATGGAGAAGTCTCCTAATCTGTTACTTCATTCATTTCTAAATTACACTTCAATGGCTGTCACAAAGACCGTATCGATGAAGACGTCACACCCTTGGGTTGTAGGACATAAATCAATCTCACACTGATTGGGAACATCCTCCCTGCTTTCTCGGTGCAGGAAGGTGCTACCCCAGCTGCTGGAGGGAAAAGAAGACGTTAATGATGTTTGTGACCCAGCAGACAGCAACGCCTTGGGGTAAGATGGGTCGGCTGGCCCGACAATGGAGTAATGTGGTGGTAATCTAATTGTATTGAAATATTATTTTGATTTGTACTGAAATATTAATTTGATTGTATGTTAATAAATAAAGTTGTCTGGGGGTCAGAGCTATTAGAGCCATAGCAAGAGTGTGGCGGTGGTGGCACACGCCTTTAATCCCATAGATATCTGTGTGTTCAGGGTCAGAGCTA